GGATATTCAAGCATATGGTTTTATTAAGGACGTAAGCTCCAGTTTTAGCCAGAGGGTGGCAGAATTGAGTCATTGATGTTCTGTAGAACCCCATTGCCTGTATGCCAATGACCTAGTATTAGCGACCAAATAGTAATATTTTAATATGGGAAGACTTAGGCCACCGTCCTTAGTGGGCCTAAAAAGTGCTTTTTTCACAGTTTAAACTTTTTTTTTAACCTCAAACGAGTCTAAGATTTGTGTCTAGTTTTTTTTTGTTTTTTTTTTTTTAACAATTGGGATCCAAATGGAAAATTGGGGGAAAAAATATTTTTTTAGTAGAGACACCATCTTTATATAAATGATTCTGCCGATCATAGATAGGGGTAGAGTCAGTCTGTGTTTGAGTGTATCAATACATTCTTACAGATTAAATCAAAAGTTTAGTTTTTATTTAAGGCCTCGATACAATATGTGATATGATCCTGAACAATCTTGTGATCCCTTCAATAAAAATAAGGTCACTTAAACCCCCAATTCATTGTGTAACTGAATCTTTCAATCGATAATAAAAGTTCAGGAGTAACAAGTTTTGGATCTATTAAAGTAATAAGTTACTTTAAACTTTTAAAAATGGACCTAAATGGGTTTTTAAATGCAAATAAAGACATTTTAAAAATGTGAGTTATTGATCGCAATTAATTATTGAAATTCAAAAAATGAATCATTTGAGAGACCTAATCTAAATTTCAAAATGTAAAATTGTTGTAAAGTACAAGTAGCTCTAGACTGCATGCCGTTCTGATTAGGGGTGCAAACGAGTACTCGGGTTCCCTTTAATTAACCCCCCTATGAATTCACAATGAACAAAAAGTTCCAAACAAACGAAATATGTAATATGATCTACGAAAGTTCAGTTCAAATTGTCTTTTTAATCCACAGAAAAAGAAGGACTTTCACTTTGCGATTACCGCTTTACTCCGCTAAACCAATGACGTTTGATCATCCAGGACAGAGCAGCATAACTAGATGTTTTCCTATATTTTGGAATTTTAGATGATTATTCTTTTAATAACTACAAAATGGAACAACCTTATAGGGAGAGACAGCTCATAGCGGACGGACGAGCGAGATTGAGCGAGTGTGTCATTACGCACAGAGGAGAAAGCTGAAACAGACAGACACTTCACCTCATTCTATTGTAACTTAATTTACCAGAGTAAAGTGTGCTCTACACTGCAGATTGTCTTTGTTAACACAATGTTGCTGTCAAAACAGCTTCAACGTGCGATGAGTGGGCATTGATGTCTGCTGGTCCGCTCGCCACACTCACTGCTCTAATTATAATAAAGTGTTAGAACGGTCATAACACGTCTGTGTGAAGTTTTATTTGAGGTTTGCTGTCTGTTGAAGTAAGAAATGTCATATTTGAATGTTAATACAAAGGCATCTTACTAACAATTATCAAAATCCCGAAGATTCAAATTAATCAATAGATACAGTCCGCATCGCGTCATAGTTGGGGGCGGGGCCTCAAAACTACCCAACGATTACTCGAGTACTCGCTTTAACAATGGGAAGAGTAATCGATTAGAGAAAATTTTGCATTTCTGCACCCCTAGTTCTGATACATACTGTATGTACCATACTTCAGAAAATTTTGACGATATAAATCAGTCCGTAACTCGCATATTTCAAATGCTTAGAGATTTAAAATCATTGAAAAGATCAAATCACTTTTTTTTTTACCTGCAGGTCCAAGACTACAAAGAAGGAACCCCGGAGGAGAAGACCTACTACATTGAACTCTGGGATGTTGGAGGATCTGTTGGGATTGCTAGCAGTGTCAAAAGCACCAGAGCCGTCTTTTACAATTCAGTAAATGGTGAATAAATAAATCAAATCTTAAAACCTTAGGATCTCTGTTATTCAGTTGTGACATATGGTAACATGTTTTTCCCCTGTTCAGGAATAATGTTGGTACATGATTTAACCAATAAGAAGTCCTCTCAGAATCTCTACCGTTGGTCACTAGAAGCATTAAACAAGGATTCGTCTCCAACCGGAGTGATCGTGTCAAATGGGTAAGTTGATGTCTTAAAATTAATTCCAGATATAAAATCCTTCACAACAAAGTTTAAGTACTGTCTAAAAGCAGACTAGAGCTGCATTCATTTATTTTTCGCTCGATGTATTTTGTGTGTAGTGTAGTGTTAAGTTTTGGTTTGTTTATTTTTGTTTATCGTAATAACTGTTGTGTTGATATGGTTTTATGTGACCGAATGTTATCTATGGGACAAGAGTTTAAAATAAGTAAAAACAATAAACGCTCTGTGAAATATATCAGTTTCATGTTCTGTATTGGAACTATGTTAAAACGTATCGTCCGTATCAAATAGAATACATTGAAATTGGTTTTATTTGTTTTGAAAGTGCAGAATATGCATACTCACAAAGTTGTCAGTGTGAAATGATATATGTATCTTTATCTTCTCAGTAGTAAATACCGGTAATTATGGTTTCTCCCAGCAGTGACTATGATAGAGAACAGTTTGCTGAGAACCCAGTTCCTTTGCTGCTGATTGGAACAAAGTTTGACCAGATCCCAGAGACCAAACGCAATGAAGTTCTCACTCGGACCGCCTTCCTGTCCGAAGACTTCAATGCAGAGGAGATTAATCTTGTAAGTCAACGTGTTCTTTTTAAATTCATCCACTTATTGGCTTTATTTTTTTTGTTAACATAAGATATTTTAAGAATTGAAAAATAATCCCTGTAATGCTTTTGTTTTTGGGATTTAACATATCAAAAGCTATTTAAAATGTCAACATTATAGACAATGGTAACTGATTGATTGATTGATAAATGACCGGCCATTCAGAAAACCAAAAACAGCTGTTACTGATTGAGCCAGTACAAACTTAAAAATATGGTCCAGATTTATTTGCCATTATAAAATTATCCTCATGACTGAAAGCATGATATGTTCTCTTCTAGCTAATACAATAATCTTCCAAAATGCTTGTTTTCATTTTTGTTCATTCTAGTCAAGCCTAGCTGTGTTGTTTCTTCTAAATTGGACTGAACTATAGTTCTGTTTCTGTTTTTTTAGAAAGGTGCAAATACAATAAAGACAACACAAAACTCTTTGACAATACCTTCAACTGGACAGGCAACATGGCTTCCAGCTGGTGCCATCCTGGAATAGCACCTTAGTATTACACATTACATTCCAGTATTATGCTCTTAAAGTTTCTATGTCTCCACATAGGAGCAAGCAGCAAACTCTGAGGAGCTATGATCAATGACAGGTCTTAACTGTCCATCATCACAATGGTTTTAAATGTTCAAAAAATTTAAATTAAAAAGCTGTGTTCATTAATTGTAGGTCCGAACAACAAAAGGACTGTCTTTCTGCTGCAGTTTCGATGTGGACAATAAATCTCTTTGGTTATGTCACAGCACCAAACACACATGGTTAGGCTTTAAGAAAGGATCAAAGTTTCACCTGAAATGTAATCAACTGTGACTGCTCAACTCGTCACATGAACAATGATCATTCGTGTGATAATCACATCGCTTGCCAATTGTTGCACAACAACGTTTGCAGAACCACTGTCAACTGGGAGAAATGCCACATTTTTGGAGACCTCCCCTGCAGTCCAGGTCAAGGGAAGTCAGGTGGGGTAGTAAAAAGAGTAACGTGCCTTTCAGATTAGGGATTAAGTCCAATAGTTCTCCAGAAGTAAATAAAATGCCAAAGTGGCATGACAAAGCATCCAAATTTGAGATGAAAATATGAAGCTTCAATTTTATGTTTGAGACAAAAAAAATCAAATACAATTTTTTTCTAACTTGTTTATTTATACAACGGACAGAGTCTCATGTGATATGTTCTCCTATTGAAATAATCATCGTCATGTCAGACGGATCAAGTTATTTATATTGTTTTAATATGATGTATATAACATTCTTGGGACATATTTGTAATGTGTCGGTCTGCTTAATTATCAAAAATATATATTCAAAAAGGTTTGTCATTGAGTTTCATACAGAGGTTCAATCAAACATCTGTTTAAAATCTGGCACACAAAAAATGTAATTGAAGAAATGTATTATAATTTTAAAATCCCCTTTTGTTTTTTTAAATCAGTCTTCCATGACACCTTGTGGTGGTATTCAAGATAGAGCATGGCTGATCAAGTCATCAGAACTCTTGAATGATCAAAATCAAAATGAAGACATAGAGTTGTTTGGTTTAAGTAGAATAAAGGCTGACTTTATCTGAGGTTTATTGCTGAGGTACTGTTTTGTTTTTGCAGGACTGCACCAACCCGAGATACCTGGCTGCAGGAACGTCCAATGCTGTGAAGCTGAGCAGGTTCTTTGACAAGGTAAGAATTTCTTGATCTGTAATGTGATTTGAACTTAATCAATTGTCAGCCAGTTGACACTGGTAGAACAAAAAGAGATATTGTGGAAATATACATTGACTGGTTGGTTGGGCAACAATGACCCCCCCCACACACACACACACACACACACACACACACACACACACACACACACACACACACACACACACACACACTTTACACTTATACATTATACTTCCACTTCTCTGGTGTGAATGGACTAATGACATGAGCCTCCTTCTACCAAGAAATATTTAGTAATATCCGACGGTAAAGTTAATCATTTTTTCTTAATCATTAGGTTTTCATATTGTGTTAAAAATCAAAGTGTTATATGTAACATTAAAAAACTCTAGGGTAAATGTAATTCAATCCTTTGACACAGTAAATGAAGAACTTGTTAAACGGAACTGAAGCAATTGTGTAATTTCCTGTTTACTTCACAGCCTGGGGTTATTTCATTTACAACAGCTTGTTGTTTGATTTTTAATCTTACAAAGTTTCCTCTTTTAATTTACTATAGGGAATGTGGATTTTGTACTTTAAAACAACCCATCCTGTCTCTTAACAGGTAATAGAAAAGAGATATTTCACAAGAGATCCCAGTCAGGTGTGTATTTCATCTCATCTTTATTTCACTTATAAAACAAAAAACAATGACATTCATATTTTTGATGGATAGATATTTTAACTTCAATACATTATGACATTGTTAGTAGCTAGTACTTGGCTCTAAATTTAAAATGAACAGTTCCTTTAAACACATTACTTTCACTTTCTCCGCAGATGACGGGTTTCACAGACAGGAAACGGTTCAACTTCAAAAGTTTGCATTATGACTGACCTCTGTGGTCTGAAACTATAACCTTTATGAGCCACGTTCAACTATCCAGTGATCCGTTTCTCAATCCAGGGAAGAAAAAACTGGATTTTGGTGAAGACATGGGGATACTTGGGATTATTACAATCACTTTTTAAGGTGAAAGCAGTTATACCCTGAAGTTTGCTCTTGCACATAAGTGGTCCCCCTGAATCCCCCTGAAAAAGGCAACAGAAATACTAGTCAGAAAAATGGCAAATAAACTTGTTTGTCATAAATAAAGAGGAAACAGTTTTGATGTATTCTTTCAAATATAACAGTTGGATTCTAAAGGTCTGATCTTTTCTAACATTGTTTGATTACCTTGCAAATCCCTCCCTTCTTTTTGTCAAATTTAGTGCATATCATGTGCTGACTATTGAAGGAATCAGCCCAAATTTTCTTGCACTCAAAGGGGAATTGCATCTTTTCCTTGGTCTCCTTCAGTACGCTTGAGGGACATCCATCTGGTTCTGTATAGCCCCATCCAGCAACTTCACAGTTAATGTTGGCCAGGATTTCGTCATCTCTCTTAGGTAGTCTGATGACATTTACGTACTTGTTCAGAGTGGCACTGTGTTTTAACTGCAAAAGAGAAACGAGACATCCTGAAATTACAGAAGTTAGTATCTTCTTCTATCAGTTTTTTTAAAGAGTATTTCTTGATCTAACTAATCCATAAAAAACTTTTCATGGGGTTTCATCTCCACACTCTCACCCAGTGAGGTTTGGTGCAAAGGTGTTGCATTGTACAGCTTTACATGAGACAGAAACTGCTGAATCGAAAGCCTCAAATACATTTTCCAAATCCAAACAGCAAATTACATTAAATAAAGTTATTTTTTTATGTACGTTTTGATATTAAATATACTCTGCTTTAGTTTACCTTGAGTAACATGATGTCATAATCAGTATTTCCATTAAATCTCTTGTGTGGATAGAACTCGGCCACTTGAATCCGTTGCTGACTTTTCTCTCTCTTGCTTATATCATGTGCTCCAAGTACTACTGTCATGTGATCCGATCTGACATACATGGAAAAGATCATATTTAGATAAACACAACAATACTAATTATCACTCAACACTTTAGAATGGACTTAATATGATGACAAAAAAGGTGCAATTTAACAATGTTAGGAAACTTCCTGTCTCCAACTTACATATAAATTATGATAAATGAAATGTACAACATTTTAGAATTAATTTAGTTTAGTTTAGGTAAAAGCTATTTAAATGAATGTTCTTTCCAAAAGGCATGAAGGCAGTAACGTGAATATACCTTTACTTTGTTTCAAATAAACATCAAGAAGATGTGATGCTTCATGGACACAAAATAAACTCACAGTTTGCAGTGTGCTGCAGTTAGAACAAAGTCCTCCCGAATGAGTATCCCACCACATCTATGATGTTCATCGACTTGAAGAGATGCCATGTAGGGTCTAGAATGAGGTTTTGCAACCCTACCACCTACTATTCCACTCTCAGAAGAGCCTAACATGAGGAGAGAAGGTAAATATCTACACATTACAAAAAACAATTTAT